AGTGGCTATGGATGAAGTCACAGGCGATTTTCAGCCAGCACCGGTGAAATCCTGTTTTTTAAAACACTCTTTGCCATCAAGTGAGAAATGACCCATAGTTCACCTTCCAGTAGGGCTGGTTTGTTTTTTATGGTTTTGTGGGGTTATTTTTTTATTAATTATAATGAAAGTTTACAGAGACTTTGGATTTCGATTCATTCATTGTTGCACTTTTCTCCCTGCCCACCCCTCCCCCACAATTTGTTCTTTTCTTTGTTATACAATCCCTCTACCCAAGTCCACTCCACTATGCAGCCTTCATTCTAGACTCCTATCATGACAATAATACCTAATCATATATTCTTCCTAAACCGTTCTCTCCCTCATCTGTTTCAATGCGGTATACATCATTTATCCCCTCTATTTTAGTCTCCCCTCAACCCCGAGGTCAGTCTTGTTTCACATCAGTGGCACTATGCAATATTTGTCCTTTTGTGACTGAGATGTTTCACTCAGCATAATGTCCTCCAGGGTCACCCTTTTGTTTAATATTTCATGAGTTCCTTGTTTTTCATTGCTGTGTAGTATTCCATTGTGTGAATATACCAGAGCTTCTCTATCCGTTCCTTTATTGATGGGCACTTGGGTTGTTTCCATCTCTTTGCTATTTGTGAACAAAGCCGCAGTAAACATGGGTGTGCATGTATCTGCTTGGGTGGCAGTTATGGTTTCTTGAGGGTATATTCCCAGTAGTGGAATTGCTGGATCAAATGGTATTTCTTTTTCCAACTTTTTGAGAGCGCACCATACTGCCTCTCGTAGAGGTTGCACCATTTTACACTCCTACCAACAGTATTTCTTCGCAACCTCTCCTGTATTTGATGTTTGCTGTTCTGTTAAACTTTGCTATTCTTATCCAGTTGGTTTTGAGAGGCCATAAATCACAAGAGGAGATTACTCCTTTTTCTCCTACAGAGCTGCTGGTGGATTCAAACCACCAGAGTGGCATTGCCATTAAGTTAGCAGTAGAGTTCTTTATATGCTCTGCCACCTGAGCTGCAACAAAAAAGAGGGAACTGGTTATCATTATGAGGAAAACTGTAAAGGTTTTCTGAAGTATATTAAAAACATTAAAGTTAAACATGGAAAAATGCCATATTCAAGGATGGAAATGTAGTAAAGAGGATGAGACCTAGTTAAAATATGATCAGGATAAATTAGGCAAAACAGTGGTAAGATTGATGTTAAATTAATATAGAAAAGTAAATGTGTAAGAATAATATTTTTTTTAAATCAGAGAATTGGGAACTTGTCTCTTTGCCTTAAAAGTCAGTACCTCCCTTGGGTTTCTGAGGTTGTAAATTGCACAAAGAGACCATTGCCATGTTTCTTCAGTGGAGTCGCTGGAGGATTTGAACTGCCAGAGAGGTTTGACCTTTGGCTTAATAGGAAAGCTTCCTACAGACTATGCCACCAGAGCTCAAATTAAAATACACAACAGGTAAATACTTTTACCTGGTATTTTCACAGGTAAACACATTAGTACTAAAATACAGAGGTATACACACAGTTAGTTAAATTACTACTCTTGAAACAAATCCTTGAGTCTGTGGATATTAATATGTGTGGTATTTTAAGTTCATTTGGGGGGAAAATTTGTCTCAGAGTATAATATCTATGATTGATTTTTCATTTTGTGTGTGTGTCTCTCTGTGTAGGGAGAGAATAGGTAGCTTTCTATTTTGTATGCAAAAATATGCTAGACATCATTTTTTTAAAAAACTAGAATTTTCAAATAAATGTTATAAAAATTAAGGTTAAAACTAAACTGATTCTTTCATTTTTAGAGAAAATATACATATGTTATCTGAAGAAAAACAGAGGATAATGCTCTTAGAACGGGTAAGTAAATTCTTTTGCCTTAAATTCTTAGCTTTAACAAAACATCTTGTAGGATAAAATCTCTAGGTTTGAAAGATTAAGACCATAGTTTCCTGATTTGGGTGAGTTGGCATAAATGTAATAATTCAGTGTTTTAGTTTGATGAGTTAAGTATATGGAGTCTTAAAAAGTTATCTGTAAGTGTTATGTCTGGGACAGAAGACTCAAAAAGAAAAAAACTACAGGACAGCACAGACTACACCTTTCTCTCTCTGTGCCCAGAGCTAATTGGTACCCTACTACAATGACTGACTGCTAAGAAGTAGAATTTGCCATCCACAACTGAAATAGCAGACCTTCCAAAACCCTATGAATAACTTAGGAACAGTAGCTAGGTACACAGTCAGAAGTAGAGCCCCTCGTACTGTAAGACAGTGAAAATGAAATAGCTGCAAACATCCATTCATAATTGGAACATAGTATGTACAAATTATTAATTCAGGAAACTTGGAAGTTGACAAAGTAATGCATTAAGTTCAACATCCTGAACATTATCGAACTGGTACTGGCCACTTTGAATTACATAGTCATATGATCTGTTATATTAGAAATGACAAATTGAAGAGGAATAGTGTTGTATTCATAGTTAAAAGAAACATTTAAAGATCTATACGAAAGTGCACAATGCTGTAAATAATAGGATTCTATCCATATGCATGCAAGTAAAAATTTTAAATGCAACTATTATTCAAATGCATACCATCCACTAAAGCCAAAGATAAGAAATTGAGGACTTCTACCAATTTGCAATTTGAAATTTATCAGACATGCAATTTAAATACATTTAACTATGTTTCCATAGATTGCAGTTGATTCCATAGGTTCCATTGATTCGAATTCATTGACTGGAATGCAAATTAAAATTTAAGAAAATTAAAACATGTACACAAGAGTCAAAATATGATCTCTAGTCTATCCTAACTAAATTTAGAAAACAACTCAATAATAGATTTGATGCATTGAACACTAATGATTGAAGACCAGTTGAAATTCAGAAGACCTGGCCATGTGACTGAATGCAATCCATATTTGTTCCCATTCTCAAAAAGTGGATACAACAGTCTGGAAATTATTGAACAATAACATTTATATCACATATAATGAAGTCTTGCTGAAGACTATCAGGAATATCATTCCTGATATCAGATGTATCTTGACTTGAAAGCAGAGAATACCAGACTGATGTCTATTTTATTGACTATGCAAAGGCATTTGACTATGTGGAGTATGGCTAACATTGAGAAGAATGAAAATCCGAGACCATTAAATTACTCTTGTGCAAAAGCTGTTGTCTGAACAGAACAAGAGAACACGAAATAGCTTAAAATCAGGAAAGACGTGTGTCATGGCTGAATCTTTATTCCTTACGGGTTCAATCTGTACGTGGAGCAAATCATTTGGACTCTATGAAGAAGAATGTGATATCAGTATTGGAGCCAAACTCATGACCAACTTGTGTTATGCAAATTATACACCCTTGCTTGCTAAAAGTAAAGAGGTGAAGAGGACATGAAACACTTGTACAAGGTCAGAGAGTATGAATTACATTTAAGTAACCATAGGTATTTGTTTCCTTCTGCAGACACTGCAATTAAAAGAAGAAGAAAATAAGCGGTTAAATCAAAGACTTGTGAGTTTTACTCTTGCCAAACTCATCTTAAAACTGATTTTTTGTGTTGCACTTTATTATAAAGAAATGATTTCCAGTAGTTTTTGTTGAGCCCTTTTGGTTACTGATGACAGAAAACGTAGAGTGAGGATATTAGATCTGGAATATCACTTGTAAACTTTAGTTTCCTCGTATTAAAGGAACTGTGTCTCAGAGGGTCAGCTGTTCAGTCTGACCACACATCTGAACTGACTGAGAACTACAATAAGTGTTGGCATCTTAGGAGCCTTAATTTTTTTTTTTTTTTTTATTATTAGCATGATGTGGTCTGAAATGTGTCAGCACCTTTATAGTTTACTGAATTACCTTGACTTTCATTCTCTGACATGTGAATTTAATCAGTTATTTAGTTGGATAACTCAAATTCTGCTGACAGTGATAATTGCTTTATTTAAACTATTATGTCTTTTTTTTTCCATTTCTACTAAATGCTGCTTAGACAGTCATGAGACTATTTTAAAACTCCAGTTCAGTACTCTCAAAAAAGTTCAGTACTCTCAAAACAAGTCTTAGCTACAGACCTGATTATTAAAAAGAAAAGACCTTATAGTAAAGCATTTGCTTTCTGTTGTATGCTTTTCTTATCCTGAACATCACGGACCTATTAATTTTACTGTGATTCATTTGTTAACACAATCTTAAGGATAGTTGTTACTTCTATTAAAAGAAAAAACCGACAAAAACATTATCTCAAAAAGTTTAAGAATTGCCTATATCAGACATCAATTAATAAGTGTTTTTGCAGTACCCTCAGTAGTGTATAAACTATATTTGACAGGAATTTTCATCAGTTTTGTTCCCTGATATGTTTCTATTATTTAGGAGACACTTGCTAAGTATTTATAAATGAATCCAGAGGGTATTTTATTCCAACCTAGGTGGAAGATAAATCATTTAAATGTAAATATTTTCATATCAATTTAAAGCTGTATTCAGTCTTTCCTGTAACTTGTCTTTCTCATAAATGCAATTAAAAAAAATTTTAAATGATAGGAGTAGAATATGCCTAAACATACCTTTTTAAAGCAGGCCATCATAATTTTTTATTTGGTTTTGATAACCAGTTGCTGTACACTTTTAGACCTTCTATTTATTACTTTTGTTTTTCTGCCTCTTTTCTTGGGATTATGTAGGCATTCTTGCCACTCTGATAGATTCCAGCCTTTAGAAGTTCTTATGCTTGTGGGTATGAGGCCTTATCTTTGATAAGGAGAGCTATCTCATCTCATTCAAGGCAATAAGTAATACATTTCCCTGTATCAGCATCAACGAAGTAAACGGTGACCCATCAGACCTCTTTGTTATTTTGTGATTGAGCAAAATGTCTTATTTAAAAGTAGGTATACCGGCCATGGTCTTTGCTGTCACTTGTTATGCATCAGAGAGTTGGCCAGTGACTAAGGAGGATAGGAGAATTGATGCCTTTGAGCTGTGGTGCTGGAAAAGAAGGTACCATGGACTGCTAGGAAAACAGATTGATCCTGGAAAGGGTTAAACCGAGCGGCTCTTTGAGGCAAGGATTCTGAGGCTTCGTCTAACATACTTTGGACATGTTGTAAGGAGGGACCAGTCCCTGGAGAGGGACATAATGCTTGGTAGGGTGGAGAGACAGTGCAGGAGGGGAAAGCCCTCTATTTGGTGGATTGATTCAGTGACTGGGGTAATCAGGATGGGTGTGTCAGAGACAATGCGATTGGCACAGGATAGAGCAGAGTTTAGGGCTGTTGTACATAGGGTCGCTATGAGATGCAAGCGACTCAACATCACATAACAACAACACATCATCATCAGAGTTAACTGGGAGATGAGAGAAGGGACTTTCCGAGTCCCATTTGAACCATAGCACTGTTCTGTTTTAATTTTATTCCTATTTAAATACTATCCTCAGACTTTTGTTTTCCCCTACCAAAGGAAAGATTGCAAAATTGGTGTAAATTGAATGTGGGCAGCATGAGGATGGCCAAATCTTAATGTCTGCTAACTTCACAAAGCAGAACTGTCCCCATCAAGATCTATTATTATTATTAATAATATCAATATTACTATTATTTGCCATTTAGTCAAATGAGACTCATAGCAACCCTGTGAACAACGACCTCTGTCCTTTCCTGTGCCAAATTCACCATCTCTGACACACTTGAACTCATTGCTGCTATCACAGTGTCTGTCCACCTGGTTGATGGTCTTCCTTTCCTTTGCTGTCCCCACTGTCTTACCAAAAATGATATCCTTCTCCAAAGAGTAGCCTTTCTTAGCCACATGCCCAGAGTATGTGAGATGAAGCTTTGCCATCCTTGTTTCCAAGGAACACTCTGGCTTCACCATCTCTAAGACATAGCTGTTTGTTCTTTTGGCAGTCCATGGGATATTCAGTATTCTCCTCCAGTACCATAACTCTAAAGGCATAATTTTTTTCTTTTGTCATCTCTGTTCATTATCCATCTTTCAGATGCATAGCAATTAATTGAAAAGACCATAATCTGAATCAGGAAATCCTTAGTCCTCAAACTACCATCATAGCTCCTCAGTAATTTGGAGAGGTACCTAACTGCAGACTTTACCAGTGCATTACATCTCCTGATTTCCTGACTCTTATTTATTGTGGATCCATGTAAGATAACATTAACAGTTTAAATTTTTTCTGTTGCTATAATGGTAAGATACCATCTCTCCCTACCAGTAGTAGCAAAGCTTAGGAGGACCGCAAACAATATAAGTTGGCAAGAATGTGGACAGATTGGAACTCTTGTACACTGCTGGTGGAATGTAAAATGTTACCACCACTGTGGAAGACAGTCTTGCACTTCCTCAAAAAGTTGGAAATAGAAATACCATTTGACCCATCTATCCCACTACTCTTATGGCAAGAAATTAAGAAACTGCCCTGCAATCTCAGAGATAACATAATTCAGATAGTGAAAGGATGGCATTCTCCTCTCATGTAATTAACTGAATATGAATCCACTGAATTTGGAATGAGGGTATGAGTCAGTTACAACTTGACAGCACACAATCACAACATCATCCCAGTACTCCATGAAATCACATTTGTGACACAAACATATGTACACAACACACCCATATTTATTGCAGTATTGCTCTCAATGGGAAAGAGACGGAAGCAAGCAGCCCAAGTGTTCAACAAACAAAACAAGAAACTGATATATCCACACAGTGGAGTATTATGTAGCATTAAAAAACAGTGGAGATCACTTGAGAGCTGGACAATCAATAAGGATAACAGAAGAATTGATGCCTTTGAGCGGTAATGTTGGAGAAGACTGAACATCCCAGGGACTGCTGAAGAACAAATACGTCTTGGAGAAAGTGCAGCAAGAGTGCTCTTTGGAGACAAGGATGGTGAAGTTTCACCTCACATTCTCTAAGCATGTTGCTAGGAGAAACTATTCCTTGGACAGGATCATCATGGTTGGAAAGGTGAGACAGCGAAGAAGAGGAAAACCCTCAACCTCTGATGGATTGATACAGTGACAGCAGCCATGGGCTCAAGCATATCAGAGTATGAGGATGACAGAGGATAAGACAGGGTTCAGATCTGTTGCTTCCAGGGTCTCTATGAGTTGTACTGAACTCGATGGCACCTAACAACCACAACTAATGGAGCCACTGTCAACTGAGACTTTATGAAAAATATGGAATCAGTCTCCTACGTACCCAGGTCTTTAACCTGATTGCAGTACCCTGTTCTAGCCTCTCCAGTCAACTGATTGCAAGGTTACTCTGTTTTACTTATTTTTCATTTCAGCTTAAACCAGACTTGTTCGCAGCCACCACCATCCTTAGTAACAACGAATTTGTTGGCATCTAAAGAGCTATGTGACTTAGGTGGACTGACAGCCTTGGACTCTATCCTGACCATCCTTGTGTGCTTCTCGTACAGTAGGAAAAGTAGGTACCTTTTGTCTATTACGTCATTGGCAGAAAGAGCAGGGCCTTCTAGCTACATGAAGAAGGCAGGTGAGAGCTCTGCAAGGCAAACTTGTTATACCTTAAGTGTCCTCTATGGATCTTATCCCTGAGCCTGCGAAGAAGCCAACATACCTGTCACGCCTGTCACTCAACACTGTCTTCTCCCTATCCTTCCATTTCAAGTCTCAAGTGTGCTACAGGGACAGTGCATCCAGTCCACACCGTTGAGGACTTCTTGTGCATCAGTAAATTACAAGGAAGTGTTTCACCTGCCCTGTGGACCACACATTTTCATCTGCTTCCAGACTACCTGGTGCTCTATATCCACTCCTGTGCATCTTCCTGAAGTGGTTTCTCTGGCTTGGAGATGACATTCCCTTTGACCTCAACTAGATGAAGAAGAAAATGATTCAGTTGAACAAAGATTAAGGAGGATAGAAGAATTGATTAGCCTTTGAGTTGTGGTGTTAGAGAAGAGTGCTGAATGCCCAAGGACTGCCATAAGAACAAAAAAGGTTTGTCCTGCAGAAAGTAAAACCAGAGTGCTCCTTGGAGGGTTTGGTCTCCAAGACTTTTTTATCCTACAAGAGATAAAAGGAGCGATAAAGAGGGAGAGAAGCAAGCCCAGTTACGAGAGCAGAGACTTTAGTATCACCCAAGAAGATGTATTGGTGCATCCTCTGGACTTGATTCTTACATTGAGAATCAAAGAAGAATGCCAAGAGACTTGGAGATCTCTAATAAATATTGGGTTCAAAGATGCTAAGAGAAAAGAACATTGCTCCAGACTAAACACAGAGAAGCAGGTATTCCTTCAAGCTGGCACTTTGAATTTGAACTTTTAACGTCTTAAACAATTAGAGATTAAATGTTTGTTAAAGGGGGGGGGAACCCCAAACGAAGAGTGGAGACCTTAAGAAACACCATATGACTTGATGAGTCTGGAAGACATTATGCTGAGTGAAATGTCTCAGTTACAGAAGGATAAATAATCTCTGCTTTAACCATAGTACAATTGGGATGTTGAGGGGGAAAGCAGGAACAGAAAGGATAGATAATGAATACCGCATTAGTACAGGTGGTGGAAAGTACAGTCTGAAAGGAATGGACAGTTCGACATCTGCATTAACAATCTGAAACAGGACAAGCATTACGTAGTGAATTGGGGCAGTATGGGGAATAAAATGTGTAGGAATGAAAACCATTCTCTTTGTAAATTTTTCTGAAAATCACAAACCTGTTGATAATCACCCTCCCCACAAAAAAAAAAAAAAAAGGATTGAAAAGAATGATCGCTCCCTTCCCCAGGTATTTATCTTTTTAACCAAAACCCCAGGGCTCTTTTTTTAAAAAACTAAAAAACCCAGAGCTTAAAAAAAATGTCTGCCATGGGCCTTTCTTGTTAGGCTCTGCAAACCTGAAACCTGTGCCATCATCATCACCTCTGACACACTTTAAGCCCATTGCTACAGTCTCTGTGCCACTCCATTGTATTGAGGGTTTTCCTCTTTCACCAACTGTGCACCTTTCCAAACAAGATGTCCCTCTTCATGGAATAGCTCTCCTAGTAAGATGCCTAAAGACATTGTGTTAGTTTTTGTTTGATTGGTTTATATATATATATATATATTGTATTTTACACATTCCTCTATTCACAGTGTGTTTCATACATTAATTCCCATACATGGTGTTTTATAAAATGAATTAGTATTGATATATGCCCACTATTACCTCACCTTCTGAGGTCTCAGACTACTGATTCTTTCCTAATTCCTTCAACCCCTCACTTTGCCCAAAAAGCTCTGTGGCCTCAAGAGTTCTTCCCTCTCCCTCCACTTTGAACTTTTATATATTTTGCTAGTAAGACATGGTGTTCTGGTTTAGATTCTTATTTAGACTGGTACAGAAAGGATACTTCTGGCACTGAAGGATACATGCTGCTTCCTCTTCCTTGTTAGTGTTTTTAACCCAATTTCTGCCTCTGAACCTTGCTTTTTTTTTTTTATTAATTTAAATGAAAGTTATTTTTCAACATACATCATGCTTGGGAGGGTGGAGAGACATTGCAGGAGAGGAAGACCCCTCTATGAAGTGGATTGATTCAGTGACTGGGATAATCGGGGTGGGGGTGCCAGAGACAGTGAGATTGGCACAGGACAGAGCAGGGTTTAGGGCTGTTGTAATTCTTTCATTGCTCTTTTTAAACCTAGTGGGACGACTTTATGGAAAGACTAGCACACTCTCTTTGTATGATCTTGCCCATCCTTGTGGCAAAGTCATTCAGTTACTAGGAATGCATTTTGACCAATAACCCTTTGACACCACAATCAGTATGCTTAAAATTTTTCCAAACCTCTAAAAATTGACAACTCTTTCATGGTATTTGATTTTTGTAAATTATCATCTCTGGTATAGATTGCATTTGTAATTATAAGTTTTATATCAGTTTTTAATGTAATCTTTTATAAATGGTTTCTTTTTTTTTTAAAGATGTCTCAGAGCATGTCTTCAGTATCTTCAAGACATTCTGAAAAGATAGCTATTCGAGAGTAAGTATTTTGTTTATATTTAGTGTTCTGAATAAAAAAAAAAAGTACTGCATTGAATAGCATTTGGTTGATAAAATGTATTTCAGTGATTATACGCCTTCTGGATCAAGTTCATTGGTGTTTTGTTTTACTCAGTGATACTACAGTTTTCTTTAAATTGGAAAGATATATTAAAGTCTATTATTTTAAGGTATTATTCTGATAACATTAGAATTACATTTTGACATTTTCCTAGTACATTTTAATTCCCACAGATATTCTTGGAGCCTCTCTGATTGTAAATTCCTAGCTGGTTGACCCCTCTTTTAAATCTCATCTCTTTACTCTTTCATTTCTTTTTAATTTGTAGTCTTAAATTTGTTTTAAAATTGTAATGTTATCCCAATTTCTTTTCTGACTTGATATTTTTTTTACATGCCACACATTCATAGTACATTATCATTTATTAGTTGTATAATTTTAATGGTCAGTCTTCCTGGGCCAGATAAGTATTTTCTTTGGTCTTGGTTATTTGAATTGATCTCTAGAATGATAAAAGTATTTTCTTTTCTTTTTTTTTTAATATTTTTTTTAATTGGGAAAAACATATTGGGGGTACAAGGAGGTGAGGGTTGGGGGCAGTAGGGTGAGGATGGGCCAGTATGCAGTTGCAGAGCTGCACAGTTTGGTCGGTGGGGGGAGCAGGTGAAGGAAATGATGAGGGTCCAGTGGGGACCAGATGCTACAGAGGAATGACAAGCATTTTCCAATAGTAATTAAACCAACTG